CCAATATATTTCAGCTTCCTTTTACAAAACAGATTTTCCTGTTCTTAGTTTTTTGTTTGGTTGTTTTTCACATCTGCTTCAGTTTGAGTTCATCTTTCTTCACCTGAGCTTGCAGCATGGTACTCAGCGTTCTTGCTGGGGTCTTGTACAACTAGTTCTCTTGCTTCTGCTGGGAATATTTTGCTTCTTGCATCCTAGGCCTACAAACAACTTTTTTTAAGTCTTCCTAACTTGATTGTAATCAGGAAATTTCATTAGCATGGTCTTTTGGTATAAGGATAATAAAGGAAAATTCAAAAGCTTTAACCACAGCCTGATTCTTTAGGAGCTCCTTTGCCTTCTGATAGCTTTCCGTTCAGCATAACCCATTGTTATTTCTGCCATCTACAGATTTGGTTCCTTTCCCATCTTTTTCATCTTAACTGATACGGCACAGTATCAAAAGTCCATACCCATATGGTACAGTATAAAAAGTCCATATAGACTTCCTGTGTTTATCTAGAAAAATTAGCTGTCTCGTCAAAGAAAGATGTCAAGTGACTTGGGCACAGTCTGCCTCTGGTGAACCTATGAGATACCTTGTTTGGTGATCATCTGTTTTCTTCTTTGCCTTTGAATTTTGCAAGAAGGAATATTCTCAGTAGCATGCTGGCTTTTGATCAGATTCACAGGCCTGACGTTTTCCTGATTGCTTTTTTTCTCCTTGAAAATATAAGCACTGTGTTTACTTTTTTCCACTTGTGAGTTTATAGATTTATTAAAAATCCTTTCTGCTGGATCTTTGATCTCCTGTATTCATTCTTTCAGAAAACTGGGATGAAGGTGCTCCACAGACTGCTCTTTAAGTGCATTTTCAGCTCCAGTCATTTGTCTTTGCTTCCACCTAAGTCATTTGTCCTATATTTTAATGAGTTTGTGCAAGGTTGGGTTTTTTTTAACATTTGCATAGATATTACAGCTGTGCTCATAGAATTAAAGAATGATTGGGATTGGAAGGGACTTCTGAAGGTCATCTGGTCCAGCCTCCCTGCTCAAGCCACCTAGAGCCAGTTTTTCAGACCTAGTGTTTTAAATGTAAAACTCTACTTGTACAATTGTGTAAAATATAGGACTGGTTTAATTTCATAGACATAACCACCTCTTGTATTTTGTTTTTTGGTTTGTTTTTTTTTTCATTCACAACAGAAAGCCATCTCACCTGAGACGTTGTTGTAATGAACTCATGAGTCTTGTGCCATTCCTACAAACAGTTCTGTCCATATTATTAACATAATGTTGTTATTCACCGGCTATTTCAGTACTAATGGAAACACACATTACGGAATAGCCCCACTAAAGGCTGGCTGAGTGTCACGATGGTAATGTCACTGTTGAATCTAAGCTTTTATTCTAGGTCTAGGGAATGTGATCATTAGTATAACTGCAGACTTTGAAGATCCGGGATTTGTTTGTCCTATTAGAAATCCAAGACTGAAAAATAGTATTTATATTGTATATGCCAACTTGCACGACTTCAAATTTTATTTTGTGCAAATGGGAGAGTAATACCAAGTGAACAAAATCAGACTTTCTTTGGCTCCCCTATCTGCACCCGATCTCAGAATCCATACTAATCTGTATTTAAAAAGAAAACAAGCTGGGGGTGAGCACCAAGAGAATCTCATGCTGAAATTAAAAATTTTGTATCTATGTAAAGTATTGAACAGACTTCTACTGAACCTAGAATTGGAACCCCCAGCCTCAGAACAAAGATTTTGGATGTCTGTGAGGTGCTTTTATTTCACAGCCGGCCCTCGCTCAAGCAGTTGCATTCCCATCACCGGGGGAAAATCCCATTGCACAGGAACGGAATTGCACTTTCCACAGTTTGGAGAGACATGCTCTGTGTTCTTTGCCTTCCTGCTGAGGTGGAAGAAGCTAACAGGAAAAATGAGTCCTGAAAGTCATGAAGAAGGGCTTTACGAGCAGCCCCCCATCCTGAGGGGCAAAGGAAGCACCAGGGCCCAGCAGAGCTGGCAGCTGTGTGGCACTGGGTCTGGCCTGTGCAGGGAGGAGGTGGGAAGGAGGGAGTCCCTTTAGGAGGGACGTGGGACAAAAGCGCTTGGGAAATACTGGGTGACACCATAATGTGTTCAAGTGTCAGGTTCAGAGAGACAACTCTCACTGCATATTGAGACAACCAGCCAAGATGCTGCTTGGTGCTGAGGGACATGGAGGGTGCTTGCATATAATGTTCTGACACACAGATTTCTGTAAGGCTTAAGAGAGATTCCAGCAAGAGGCACCACCATTTCCCAGCATTATACAACTATGTTCAGAATACCTTTAAGCTCGTGTGTTCTCTGCATGCCTGCAACAGTAAAATGTGTCTAAAACATGGTATTTCTTGCTTAGAATACTGGTACATTGCTAAATTAAGACGTTCAAATCCTTATCTGAACCTTTTTAATCCAAATGTAGCTTTTATCAAAACAGTCAGTGATGTTTATTTTCACAAATGCTTTCTCTACCCACATTGAGCTGTTCTAGAATTATTTTCTTTAAAAAAATGAAACAAAACTAAATGAAAACCCCAGGAAAGCTAACCTCAGAAACTTTTTGTTGTGATGAAAATTTTAAGTCACATTCATTCAAAAAACTAAAGACTTTAGGACTTGCAAAGTAATGTGATTTTTGTCAGGCACCAGGCTTATTAATACTGGATTCTAAAAAATAATGTCTTAAATGTTATACATTAAGAAAAAGAAGCAGCTGAAAAAGAGCATTCACACAACTTCATTGATAGCGTCAGTAATGTTCCCTCAAGAGGAGTTTTTTCACCAGATATCGAGTGGACTAAAGATGTGGTGCTCTCATTTTATGAGCATGAAATAAAGGCAGTTTTAAATACATAGTTCCATCAAAACCACAGTTCACCCGTCATTGTGATGAGCTGGCTCTGAGGCTCTGCTTTGTCTGACTGAAGTGTGGGCTGTTGCCAGGAGAGGTGTTTGGGCTTCAATCCTCTTTTCCTGCCTGTTCCCATGCACTTCCTTGTGCTGGCGTCTGGATTTGTGGGTGATGCTGGAAGCTGACTCAGGAGACTGATTTGGCTGTGAACTAAACTGGCTAAGAAAGAAACAAAAGATGGACATTTTATTTATTTATTTACAATCAGATCAGTTCCTGGTTCCAGCTCATCATTTGGCTATATAAATGCTACCATTAGTGTTCTGAAATGATACTGCAGCTTTCATCTGCACCCACTGGTAATGGCAGGTTAAATTGACCGTGTAGCTGCAGCCTGGGGAGACGTCTCTGCTGCAGATTGCAGTGTGTATTACTACAGAGGCACCTGGACTGGTGACAAATGGACTCTTTTGGCTATCTTGCTTCTCAGCAGTTTGCTAAGAGGAAGGGGGAGAATTGAGTGTGCTCCTTGCCATCTCATGACTGGGAGGGAGGTGATACCAGAGAGAAAATAAAAGAAACTGCAAGCTTAAGATTGTGTAAAGAGCCGTCTGGTTGTTGCAGGAGCAAAAGAAACTCGCCTGGCATTTTTGGATAATGCTAGTGTTGAATCTGAAGAGAAAAAAGTATTATATGGGCCATGTGGTGTATGAACCCATATTCCCTCTATTATTTTTAATAGAAAATTTGAAAACAAAACAACATGATGATCCATAGTAAATTTTGAGGTCTGTTTGTCCAATAATTTTGTCATCTTCCTTTGTGTTAATTGCTCTGGGTTAAGGTTTTGGGGAGTTAATACTGCAGTACTGTCGTCACAGCTTCAAGTCGTGAACCAACTTGCTTAAGACACTTGAATAAAAAAAAACCACTCCTTTTCTTTTAGATTTTGTAATATAATTGTCTCTCTTACTTCTTGGATGCTTTGTCCTTCAGTGAAGATGTTTGCTTATAGTGTGTTGTCATTAGGTGTTAGAATTAACACGATTTATAATAGGTAAACAAGTTAATTCTTTGGAGCTGTTGTTTTAAAGAAGTTTCCAGAACGTTTCAAAAATACTTCATTAGTTTACCAGTCAGATGCATTAATCTCATTAATTTAATGTAAATTAAGTGTAAAATCTGCGAGTTGTTTGTAACCGGTATGAAACAAACTGGTGTTCCTGTGTCAGCCTAGTCTGGTAACTTGCCTGATCAATGACTTCCCCTTCCAAGCTCCAGGTAGAGTGGCTGCCCTGTTACTCTGTCCTCTGATGAAGGCAACATTTACCACTTTTAACTTCACCTTTTCAGGTATTTTTCATCTTTGTCCTTGTCAGAAAGGTCCTGCTCACCTTTCCACCTGTATTTGCAGTTCCACTTTTGAATGGGTAAATAACCCAGAGCTCCCAATGAGTTTCAGCACTTTGCCTAGTACATAATATTTCTTTCTAAGACTTTTCCGTCACAGCAGTAATGTGCAACCACCTGCTGAAAATGCAAAGGGAAGAGCATTCCCGTGTCACAGATCCAGTGAAATGGGACCATACACAGGCTATAAAACTTCCATAACACTTCAGGACGCATGGATGCATGCAGAATTAGATATATTATCGTGAATCAGGAAATATCCAGGCACAGTAGTAGATTAATGGCTTCAAAGTAGTTCTCGGAGCCTGCTTCTAAATCAGATGATACAGGAGATCTGGAGAAACCAAGGTCTGTGTTTTCTGAAAACAGAATAGGAAATTTAAATTACTCTTTTGCTGCCTTGAAGTCGCTGTCTAATATTAGCCCTGTCAGCTCCTGGCTCTTTGTCAGTGGGAGCACAGGAGGAGGTGGTTGCCAGCCAGGAGAATATGACCAACGCTTTTAAATACTGTTGCTTGGAAAGTCTTATTAATGGCTGCATATGAGATCGATGTGCAATAATTCTTTCAAGCAGTATCTTTTTAAAAGCCTTTAGCAATCTGTCATCCTCGTCTCCCTCCCCCCTGGTTAGAAAGCCACATTAGTCAGGAGAAATCGCACGGTCCTGGGAAGTTTCAAACCGCATCCGCTGATGCTGTCAGGAAAATGCTTCTGTGCGGGAGCGCAGGGGCGACTCCACTGACGGCTGCTGCTCATCCTCGGCTCGGGCCATCCTGGAGCGACCAGCGGAGAGGAACGGGGAGGTGGGCGAGATTCTGTCGGGTGCATGGGAGCGATACCGGAGGGAAAAATGGAATACCCTCTTCCAGGAGACAAAGCTCGCGCTGTCTGTGAGTGTCAGCTCGACTTCTTCACATCTGTGTTTTCAGAGAGTGGGGGGAGATTTCAGTACTGTTTATTTTGTTCTGAGTTTAGCCACCTGTTCAGCATATCTCAGCCTTTGCTGTCACTGTAGTAAAAATGTTGATTTATCTGTTTTTAAATGATAATTCCTAACTTGTAGTTATTTTGGAGGTGATTTGAGCTCCCACAGTGGTTCTGGCTTATTGGAAACCTCAGCTTTGGTAAAACATATCTGCATTTTAAGGAGAGATGTTTAAACCTCTTCTTTTGTGCATTGGCATTAAGTATTACTTTGAAAGTTAATCTGCTCCATTAGCTATGGTTGGAAACTAGAGCAGGGGTTTACTAGGTAGTGAATTTTATCAGAGAAAAGAACGTAGGGTGTGGGAAGTCCCTGTCCCTGATGGAGAAATCCTGAGTCATTTACTTCATGATGCATCAGCAAAAATAATTTGGGTGTGGCTTTGCTTTTCAGCTGCTATTGTAAGGAGACCACGCAAGCTGACAGTGTCTTCATCTGGTTTGTGATTGCAAGGGTTTTTCTCAGAAAAGGCACAAAATGCCTCACGTGTTAACATGCAATATCTGTGCTTGCAAGGCTGCAGTAGATGTAAGTATTTGAGTAGATACCTATCAAAAGTAAGCTCTTCTCTGAGGCTAGGGAATTCTCCGCTGAAACGACCTTTCCATCGCATAGCAATGTGCAATGTTATATATGCTTGATTATCTTTTACCGTTTGCCTTGGTTTTGATTGTTTTGCTATTTATTTTTACTGTAGGCTTAGAGCTGCAAACACGATGTTTGGTCTTCAGTTTAGGTGATGGTTTTTTCTAACCAAGTCAGTGCTGTGTTGCAAGTGGCATTAAAATAAGCATTGGGGAACGGTGAAAGAACAAAAGTAATTTAATGGACTCTTCTTTAATCCTGCATAATATATCTTGGATTTAGAGTGAGACTCAACCACTTTCAACAGTTTTGAAAAAAGGGGAGCTGTAATTAAATGTATGTATTTGAGTGAAATAATTTTTCATAGTATGGATCTAACATAAGTATGCTCAGGGAGTTATGAATGAGGAGGAAAGCATTTTCTCTCAATTCTGGAAACAAGAGCTTATATAAACCTCTTCTGTACTATAAGTGTCTTGTTGCAATTGGGTGGCTTTGCAGTATGACTAAATGTACTGGATTAGAAAAGTCATAGAAAGATAAGTGGGGGTTTTGTTGTTAGTCTCTCCTGAGTCCCCAGAAAACCCTAATTCTTAATATTTTCAGAAAGTATATTCCCACTCAGCACAGTGACTGTTTCTGACCACCTTGCTTCGCTTATTAGTAAGTTTTTCCATGTCTAATCAGTAAGAAATGCACCAAAGAATAATGGTATTTTGTCTTCTGGCTGTCCTGGAGCTGTTTTCTGTTTCCAGCACACATTTTGGGCAGATAACATAATAAAAAAATGCCCTGGCTGTGAATGTAATGCCTATCTCTTGTATCTAGGTGGTCTCAAAGTGACTCAGTAGAGGAAGAAACACAGAAAAAACTTCAGAAATAAATACAATATATTGCTGAAACCCCCTGTCTTGGTATCCTCACTTGCTTTAGATAATGTTTCACATCAGTAACTGGCGGCGTGATGGTAACATAACAATAAGCTGAATTATTAACAATTTTTTTCCTTCTCTGCTTTGTAAATTATTCATTACCATGTCATTCAACCAGAGACAACCAGACATAAACCTAACTGCCAAACATGAGTAATGCTAACTATTCTATTTGTTATCCAAGTTGAGAGTGGTTGAAAGTAAAGATTCAAAAATACATGGAAATAGATTCCTCTAAAATAATATGATGCTGTGTTAATAGGAAGATAAGATTTTATATTTTAAATTTCCTTTTCCTGCCACCCACTGAAACACCCTTGCTGTCCCATTACCTCACATTCTAATATATAAGCTTTCTCTCAAGTCTAAATTATTTTTTTCTACTATAACTTATTGCTGCTTGCAAGGATAAACTTGCCAATATGTCCTGGATTTCTTCCACTAAAAGTATCTGTAGTGTATGCAAAAATGTAAACTCAGGTGCTCTTTTTTAAAATTACTTTTCATTTTTTAATGTTGAACTCTTGAAAAAAGAAATGCATGAATTCTGGGCAGAGAAAATTAGGAGGAAAAAAGGCAAATCCCTCCTATTTTCCCCAACCAAGGAGTAGATTTATTTAATATAATCATGGTCTTTTCAGGTGAAAACAGCTGAGCCTGACAATGCTGATGAATGACAGCATGAATTGAAACCAAGGAACTTTTCTCACAGTTAGAAGTGCATGTGCGTGGATAGGTACTTATCTGTCATCCTTTTTATGGGAAAGAAGGCATTTAGGAGTGAGAGGTTTGGGTAAGGATGCAAGCTAGAAATTCAGAGCTATAATTTGTGGGACATCAAACACATTATGAGATTTTATTATTGTTTTTAGAGCTTTGTGAAGATGAAAAATGCTTTGTAAGCATTAAGTATAACACTTCTGTCTCTTGCATTTTAACAAGCAGTATATAGAATAGGATATTTTAATGGTCTCATATTGCAATTCTGTAGCTGCATAATTAGTAATTTTCTGATTGATAATATTGGAACATCTGTGTGAGAGTTCACATACATGAAATCTACCCTTCAGCTTTTTAAAAATCATTTACTGGATTTTCTGGCCATTGCATGGATATGTCACGGGAGGAATTTGCTACTGACTGTTTTAAACATCCTCAGCGAGTTGTACAGACCACGTAGCTTTGCAGGTGACAGGCTTGTCAGTATCAGTTAAAGTTGGGCAGTATCAAGGACATGAAATACAACAAATAAATCAATAGTGTGTATTTTTATGTTAGTGTAGGGTAATGTATGTATGCCATCAGTGATATTTCTAATAGGAGTGTAATCTTCAATTTTTGGGGCAAAATATAAAGCTGAGTGTGCTACACTGGAAACCTCTCTTAATGGAAGAATTTTATGGTTGGTTCATTAAGGTTCTTAATAGTCTGATTTCACAGAGGCCTCAACACACTTCTTATCCAGCGCTGCCTTCACCCACATCTTATGTACTACTCATGGTTTGGGAAAGGGGAGCAATGGTGGTTTGCTTACAACATAAGGGGTTTTAGTTAAATTCTGCTAATAATCTTTTAGAAAAAAAGGGGAAAGAGAAAGCATGTGGAATGAGAGAAATGTGTTGGAGGAGGATTGCCATAGCCTGAGTATTTTCTGAGAAACTGGAAGAGAAGAAGCGTTATCTACTTGGAGGGATATGTGATAAATAGACATGTTAAATTTTAATCAGTTAGCATTTGCTAACTCAGTAATCGCAAAACTGATATCCAGTTCTGAACAGTGACCAAAAATTGCAAACCTACCCTTAATGAGACCCCGTAAAAGCCTTGGAAAAGTTAATCGGAAGGAATTTATGTAAAACTTAGTAAGGTGCCTGTATTCTGCCTTTATTATGAGAACTAATAAAATTCTTTATCCTTGCTAGGGGCTAAAGTTTCATTAACATTTGAAGAGATGGTGTGTTTTTTACTATTTCTGTAGAGTAGAAAATGTACTACTGACAGTTAGATGGAAGGTGCTGATGTTGCCATTAGAGGGGAGAATTAGGCATTCCTGCACCTGCAGTATTTCACTTACTAAATGCAGCATGCAGGATTTTAGCTCATTTTCTCTATCTTCAGTGGGCAGTGTCTCTTCTCTGTCTGTCTCTGCCTTCCTTCATCCCTTCATCTGTCTCCCTTCCTTCATCCATTTCTGTGAGGAAATTCAACCAGTCTAAACAGCATTAGACCAGTTTTCTTGATCAGCTTTTAGAAAATCATCTCATCATGGAGTCCAAAGCGAGGTGCACCCTGAGATACTGGTGGAAAAACTCCTTGGTATATGTGGGTTATTTTGCCAGCTGTCTGCGTGTAGGTGAGTACCAATAAAGTACAGAATAGTCATGTGTCAAATGATGTCTGGCCTTGCTTGTGCCGAGTATAATCAGGATGATGAGCAAGGTGATGGACAAGTATGGTCAAGGGAATGGACAGGTCTGCCAAGAGCCTGCAAATTATTTCCTTGGAGTCCTGCCTGGAAAGAGCGTCAAAACAATGATTTTGAATAAAGCATTCTCTGTTCACCCACTGTTTTGTCTGTGTGTCTTTGTCTACATGGGGAAAATTCTGGCTGGGTCTGACTGAATCCTCTGCGCTACCCTAAAGCCTCTCGTGTGGGGGTGCTCAGGGTGCTCAGGTGTGCTGGCAGTGCACAGCCTGGCTCTGTGTGAGAGCCATCCTAAGAAAGACAAGGTTATGCACATCCATTCATATGCCCAGTTTTGTCCTGAAGTTAAGTGAATTTAATAGTGTCTTAAATAAGAGCAGTAATCTAATCTATGATGTTTTCTTTTCCATTTTAATTAAATAATTCTGGTAAAGTGGCATGTTCTACTTAGGGAGAAACGTGCCTTCTTTCCAGCCAGTCCAGAGCAGCACATTGTTTAACTGGAGTTAGATGCGTTTGGTAAGATACTCAACCATGGAGGAAGGGTACTTGCAAAAAAGATGGGATTGAGTTGTCACACTGGAAAAATCCCCACAAGGAAAGGAGTCATTGACCTATCCTAGCATTTTACACAACCGTTGTCATTGTGGGTGAGGGAGGTTGGTTGTACCTGCACAGAGCTGGGAGCTGGGGTGGATGTTTGAGTTTCGGGTCGTGACTGGGCACTGAATCTGTTGTGAGTAACTCAAGGAGGGTGTGCAGAAGCCTGGCTTTGTATGCTTTAAATAGGTAACAGTGATCATAGGCTCATTTAGGTTGGAAAAACCCTTTAAGATCATAGCACTTTGTAGTAGATGTTCTGTAAATGTTTTACTTTTTATTTGCAGTATTTATAGTATCTCATTGATTGTATGTAATGATTCATGAATCAGCTTGTGTTCTTCCTATACAGTTTGCTAGTGCTTGCATACTAGTGTGGGATATTGATAACATTTTTCAGAGGTCAGAAGGAATCCCTGTCTAACTAAGCTATTTAGGATTGACTGCTGAGAGATTTTCTTAAAAAAGAAGTCTCTTTACATGTCCTGAGTATAAATATCCTTTATAGCATATTTATTTATAGCATAAATATCCTTTTCATCAAATCTATCTTAGATGCTGCCATATGTTTGAATGTAAACAGAAAAATAAAAGTTAAGTAAACCTAGATATGTGATGCAGATGACAAGAAATTTCAGAAGTCTGTAGAGATAAATCTCTAAACATGTGAACACCCACTCCCTGGCAATCAGAGCTCCATACCGTCTCTAAGAATTTTAATTAAGGACTTTTTGTAAATTAGTGGTTTTGCCAGCGGCTTAAAAAAGTTGGGCTGTGGTGGTGGTGTATTATTTAAGCAACTGTGATACTTCTTTGCCAGAAGTGCTTGTACTATTCTTGGAGAGAGTAGAAGCCTTTTTCTAATTTGTTTTTCCATTTCTGTGCAATGCTCTGTAGGTACCTGGTCAGGTTACAGTGAGGCTTCATTTATTGAAGGTTTGAAAAGTGCTCTAGTTTTGAAGCTTGTTTCAGTAGGAGTGGTTCAAAGCATAATCTGTCAATGTAAAATCTATTTAATTTTTAAAAACTTTGGGAAACCAGTACTGTTAAGTGTTCAGAAGTCACACAATAATATTTAAAAATATATTGCCAAATACATAATTTATTATTGAAAACATAAAGAACTTTATGGTAACCTAGAAAAAATGTTCCCATGGGAAAAGCTGATTGATTGCATGTTTATTTCTCATCACATTGTTCAGTATGTTGACTCCCTTGCAGCCTCTTTCATTATGGTCAGGATAAAACTTAAGGGAGATATTTCAAGCAAGGTTTTGGTTTCTTTGCTATTTATTAACTGTGTTGGGTTTTTTCCTGTTGCATAGAATCACAGAGTGGTTTGGGGGTGGAATGGACCTTCAGAGATCATCTGGCCCAACCCCCTGCCATGAGCATGAGCATCTTTCACTCGGCCAGGCTGCCCAAAGCCCCGTCCAGCCTGACCTTGAAACACTCCGGGGATGGGGCATCCACAGCTTCCCTGGGCAACCTGTTCCAGGGTCTGACCACCCTTACAGCAAGGAATGTCTTCCTTATATCTAATCTGAATCAACCCTCTTTTGATTTAAAGCTATTAACCCTTGTCCTGTCACTACAAGCCTTGGTAAAAAGTATCTCTCCATCTTTCTTATAAGCGCCCACTAATTATTGAAAGGCCGCAATAAGATCTCCCTGAAGCCTTCTCTTCTCCAGGTTGAATAACCCCAGCTCTTAGCTTGTCCTCACAGGAGAGGTGTTTCAGCACCTCTGACTGTTTCTGTGGCCCTCCTCTAGACCTGCTCCAACAGGTCCATGCCTTTCCTGTGCTGGGGACCCCAGAACTGGACGCAGTACTCCAGGTGGGGTCTCACCAGAGCGGAGTAGAGGGGCAGAATCACCTCCCTCACCCTGCTGGCCACACGTCTTTTGGTGCAGCCCAGGATGTGGTTGGCCTTCTGGGCTGCAAGCATACGTTGCTGGGTCACATCCAATTTTTCATGCTCCACTATCCCGAATTCCTTCTCTGCAGGGCTAATCTCATTGCTGGTTGTGTGGTTGCTGTATTCACAGTTGTGTTTTGTGGGAAACAGGGAATGATTTTTAATGTTGTTTTCTCATTTTCTTTTTTAACTCTCTTTCAGAATTCCCCACTCTACCAATATCTGCAGGATTTAGGGCACACAGATTTTGAAGTATGTTCATCTGTGTCGCAGAAGGCAGAGCAATGTGCAGCAGCGGAAAGCCAAAAAGAGCGGACTGTGCGTGCTGCCCAGAAAGTGAGCACTCTCCTGTTCCTGAGTATTTATCTTCTCGAAAGAGAACTACTTTACTTCACAAATGGGCAAAATCAGAGGGGATAATAATAAATCTCTTACTGTATTTAAAAAAAACCAAGACAAACCCACACAAAAGAAACCCCAACCAGTTGTCATGTCTTGTCTTTAAATGTGTTTGGAAATGCACGGTTTGAATTGTTTCTTTGCACTTGTGTAAGCTAGGGAAGCAAGAGACTTTGATAGTGAATTTTTTGAGTCTTGTAAATTATGTTATTTACTGGATATTGTTATCTTAGCTTAGCATGACATTCTGGGAACAAAACCTGTAATTTTCTGGAACAGAATATTTATAGTTTCCAGCCCTTCTCAGGCATTCAGTTGCTAAATATCACTTACGCTGTGACAAAACATAGTAAGACAGAGGATTTCTGGGAAGTATAAATGCAATAACCAATCTGAATGAGATAGTAGAGCTGTGCTTAGGTTATGGCAGTTTTCTAACAGTCAACAGCTGACAGGGATCATCAGCTGATTAGCTCAGACTTCTTATTTCTCTGTCATTTTAAGTACAGGCTTGTGGATTTATTAAAAACATTTAGGCATTCAAATTATGCTTGAGAATTTGGCCATTTGCACCTACTATTGCCTACACGTTTTTTGTTTTCTTTATTAAAAATAAATGGTATTTTACTGTTACTGGTAGTGTATAGGCCATGTGACTCGGAAGAGGAGCTGTAGTGTGGGTGAGGAAATGCCTTTTTTGAGTCGAGTAATGTAGGAATCTCTTTGCAACAAGTATACTGAAAAATCAGTAGGCAGTCTGTCTTCTCCTTAGCACTCAGATGGAGCATGCAAAGAGCAGTTATTTTCTGCCTACTTCTACGGTGGAGAGTTCAGTTTCGAGTGGACGTGCTCCAGCTATGTGCTAAGTCAGGAGAAAAAAGAGGCCTCCGTTCAGATTTCCTTGCCCTGGCCACTGCAGGCCAAGGTCTCCATGCAGATTGTACTGGATAGGAGGGCATATGGCAAATGAGAAGAGCTGATGCTTTTCTTAGGATCTTTTCTCAGATAATACCATCTTGACGTATATCCACTACTCAGTTCTCAAAATGCTACAAGAAATTAGCAAAGTAACAGTCACAGTTAGCTAGACTTTATTTCAACATTTTTTTCTTCAGTTTTGTTTGTGTCCCTCTTGTTCCTGCTTTGTTTTAGGTCAGAACTATCTTTTTCTCATGGGATTTTTACTCTATTCTGCTCTGTGCAGGGTCTTAGGTGGGGTAGGATTTGGGAGCATACAAATTGGTGTGGATAACATCAGACAGATTTTTTCTGATCTGGGGGAGGAACGTGTCGGTTTTGAAATGTTTTCTGTGGTGTGGTGTATGTGCAAGGAGTGACATGCACAGCCTTTGAAGTTGAAATTTAGACATTGCAGTGTGAAGTCTATTCATCTAGCTGTATTCAGAGACGTGTTGGAAGGTCATATTTTCATATAGTGATATTAGTTTAAACCACACTGCATAGACTATGTAAACTTCCTCACGCACTCATCAGTCCGCTTGAGAAGCCAGGGTAATAAAACATGTAACATTTTGCTCTGGTCTTCAGTCCTCTTGGAGTCTTTCTTTGTGGACAGGTGGGTCATTATTTGTGTTAATCTGGTGCACTGTGCATTTTGCTTTACTGCCTTGATCCCCAGTTTCTGAGACTTGTAGTCCTATGGAAGTGTGCCACATCGCCCTCCTCTCATGCCCCACTTTCTGATCAAAGATGGCCATAGAGATAAGATACAGGGAACGTATCCCTTGAGTAGACCAGTGAGTACCACTGCACGCCCAGCACATGGATTAGCCACAGCCTGTAAAAAATTATAGTAAGAATCCCTAAGTTTAGTGCTGTTCAGCTGAGTTCTTGTAAAGTTTACAGCTTTTCAAAGAGTTCAGCAATTTGTAGTAAAAAATTACGAAGGAGCTTCATACCAAACTCCAGTCTCAGGTGCTGAGGATTTGTGAGCCCAGTAAGCAGATTAACTGAGGGGAGGAGGAGAAGGGCTTCTTGCAGTGCTTCCTTGGCTGGTTTCTCTAATGTAAGTTTATTTTAAATTTAATGAATAAACAGTTTCTAGTCACTGTTGTTGTGGATAGCTATTGGATTTGTAATAACGATTACTTCTATCAGTGGTCACAAGGCAAGGCTGAATTTAATTCAGGGTTTAACTCACAGTTTTTAATACATTAATTTAAACTACCTTTAAAAGTATTCATGGAAGTATTAGGTCCACTGCTTTACTTTTCAGAATTGTCAGCTGGCATTCTCCGTAACACTCAAGAAACCACTTGCAAATATATTTTCCCTGTAAAGTTATTTGCAGTTTTGTGGTACGTTTATATTGAAGATACCTATTCTGGCTTAGTGCAGGAAGACTTTAATTAAATGACTGTTAATCGAAAATTAGGGTGGCATTTCCTTGGCTGATGATTTGCTCATTGCTATGGAGTAATGCATGGACTATCGCTTGTGAGCTGCATTACTTTACTTTGCATAATTACTTTAGTGGAAGTCAGTAAAGCAGTATGAGCTGCGTTCACGTATATAATTTCTACTGAATTTAATACAAAAGTGCTGTGGGGTTAAGAACCTCAAAAGTATTAAGGTATGCTGCTTTTAACAAGCCTCAAGTATTCTGGTTTTTTTCCCCTCCTTTTGCACTTAATTTTATTGTGTTGAGAGTAAGTCCTCCGGTTTTGTGTCAGATGTAGAAGTGATTCCTCATGGCTTACCTTACAATTTGAAGGGAGTGGGTGTGTGAAAATGGGCTGTCCATTTCTTACAAATGCTGGGATGACGTTCACATTGTCTCACTTCTGTCTAGACACAGATATGCAGTGGAAATAAGGAAGAAACCTGTGTGTAATTTCCAGTCATAAAATGTCATAGGTTCTTCCTGCTGCTGTTTCAATATCAGTTCAGGAATGGTGACGCTTTTCTTTTGTAATCTCATGTCAGAAAGTCTGGCTTTGTCATTTGATTTCTGTGTCCCGTTTTGGTTGGATGTCTCAAAAGGAAAGGGAATTGAGGGAGAGGCAGCTGGCCACACGTTTAAAGAAGTGGACTGGATTTAGGAGGATCTGAGGCTTTACTGCAACTTTTGTATGACGTACAGGCAAATCATTTACAGTCCCATCCAAACATTTCCTCATTCTTACCTAAGGTTATTATCACTACTCTTCTCTCAGCCTATGCTGGCCATGTCTACTGAAATTATAAAATGTCTGGGAAACAAATGGTTCCTGAGTTCTGAATATGTACCTACCCACAGTCCTAACATAAAGTGATCGTATCTAGGGCCTAGTGTAGTTTAAAATACAGTCGCAAGGAGTAGACGATGTCCCATGCTGAGTGATGCCTAGTATGTGTGTATCGTTTTCCTTCTGTTCTGAAAAGCAAGTTTACAATTGCCTGAAACACTTATTTGAAATAAAGATAGAAGAGCTGCAGCATTGCTCCACCTTAGCGTTGAGATTTTTCACTCCTCTTGTATTCAGGCAAGTAGGAACCCTGTGCTGATACAATCTGGTGACCTGTAGCAAGATTGTGGCAAGGTGAAGATATAGTTTGGGATTTTCAGGGACTGAAGAAACAAATCTGGAGAAAAGGAGTTTCCTAGTAACTGATACAAATGTTGCTGCTGTGTCTTGCTGTCCTGCCAAGCAGAGCATATGGATCAGGCTTTAAAAAAGGCAGAGGCACCAGTTGAGTTTGAAGCACACCTTAAATAGTTCTTTCTGTGTGTGGTTTTGGTGTTTCTTTAAATCAGAAGTGAAAAGCTGTAAAGGTGCCTCAAGGTTGTGTGCTGAGGGCTGATGAAGTGCCAAGCTCCCATCTGAGGGAGTACAGAGATGTGATTTAGCACCGTAATTATAGGTGCAGTGTTCCTGGCTGTACCAACCTCTGGAGAAAGTTACAGCTAAAGTTCTGGTCTGATGATCACTTGATACTCAGAAGTGCAGTTTGCAAGAGCTCCTAGACCTGTTTTCTGGAATTAAATCCGATTTGCTTGTTCTTTAAGGAATATATTTCTTTCCATTTGCATTTTTCCATTCCCACTCATTTCCCTAGATGGCTGTGCATATCTGAATGTTTAAATTGATGGTACTGTTACACCTTATCTCATCTTAGATGTGATAATACCTCATCACTAGGACAAGGCTGGTGCTGGAGGCAGCTTCAGAGGGTTGTGCTGGGACTGGCCCTCAGCAGCTGTGCAGGTGATCTGATGTGGAAGGGCAGAGGGACCCCTCCTTTGCCTTTGTCTGCGGCTCCCACCCACTTACTGCTGGCTCTGGGTAGCTGGAAGCTATTTAAAATGTAGCATTTTCTTCTTTCTGAAGTGCACAGAACTGCAAGGTGCCAATGGGAATGAGGACATTTTAGATACTTGCTGGTTTGCCATTTCGAGTTCATCCTGTACAAAAGCAAAAGTGTCCTTATAGTTTTATTTTACATTCAAATGAATGCACCGAAAATGTGCATATCCCATGCTATTTTTTTTATAAAAAGTGTTAGGAGTTACACGTCTTTGTTGCTCAGTTTACAGAGCGTTTGACTGAGCGGTGTTCTGAAGTCGTAAGAAGAATACTCCAGAAGCATCGGCAACATGACCTGACTTGTGTGTTGATGGGAGTTGTTTTACTTGTCAGTAACACTCCCAATGGGAGTGCAGACTGTGAGACACTGTTCCAGGGATCTGAATAATTTAATGTGTTATTGTGCTCTCCTGGGTCACAGCCCAAGACAGCGGGTTGTCTTGTTTTGTGTTTGCAAGCACTGACATGCCTGACGAGTGTTTATGCAAGCTCAGCTTTTTATTTTTAAACTAAAACACAGAAAATAAACCAAAATATTCCTGACGTGGCACACTAGTATGGGTTGTAGTTTTTTCACTGATTCTAGAGTCTAGTTCAGTCAGCTGGAAGCAGTTTAAAATGATCCTTGCTGTAGATGTAAATGTTCATGTCAAAAACCCAAGGGCTTGTGAAGGCTAAGAGGTTGGAAGTAGTAGACTCCAAGAGGCATAATTTTCAATATGAAATGGACTACTCTTTCTGTACTCTGCTTTTGAAGTATGGGAAAAGTACTTCTGAATGAAGTACCTGTCTGCAACTCAAATGCAGAGCAAGGAGTTTTGTTTCGTTCATCTCAATTTTCTACAAATTGTAATTGGAAATTTTTGTTTGATTTTGCACCACTTTACAAGAAACCTGGAGGATATCCTAGTGCTGCACTTTGTGGCACTCTTCTTCTTTTCCAGCTTATGTCAGTGCCCTTGAGCAACATCAAAATGCAATCACTTGGATTTATTCCATAACCTAAGAAGCATGGATTGCTGGGATCGTTCCTCCTAGCAAGCCTTGACGACGTCTGCTGTCATTATGAAACCCCTGTTGTTGGCTTGTCTCTCCACTGAACTAAAAACACTTCCTTTTGGCCAGGTCTGCAGCTCTCACTGCACACAGAAAGATGAGGCATACGTAAAGAAAACCTCGAGTTAGGTTACCTAAATGGACACCGCCGTAAGTTATTTCAAAAACTGTTCTGCGAAGCGTAAGGGCTTTAGGGTGACAATTTGTGGCACTCCTGCCTTTCAAAGGGCTGTCAAGCTGATCACAGGGCTGACCACAAAGCTCCAAGCTCCCGTCGCTTGGTTTTACTCTTCTATTTCCCACCTTACATATGTAGAAAACAGGAAAAAAAACCCAAAAGGGAGAAACGGAAGAAGCTGGTATAATGCAGACACGCTTTATGCATTAAGCTGTTATAATCAAGGTTGGTTTGGTTTGGGTTTTATTTGGAAACAGTGTGCTACGAAATGTAAGTGCTCCGCAATGAATTCTTTTTGGCATGCATTTCATTTGATTGTATTGCATGTCAGCAGTCTGAAGATTAAGAGGTAGGGCCTGAGAAGTCATGAAATATATGTCAGTAAATATTTTGAAAAATACTTCCTGTCAACTCAGTCTGAGGAAAGTAGATACACAGTATGTCAAAAACTCCATTATTTTCATTGAATGGCTATAGAGTGAAGCAAAATTGTGCATCTATTTAATTATAATCTTGTATGCATCGTATTTTAGGAAGATACATGAGTAAAATGTGTGATAACCAAGAGGGAATCCCTCTAATTAGTGGCATTCGAAGTAATGTTTACAGCTCAGATGAAAGCGTGGGTTTAGATTGCATGGGAAGTAGCGTGAGGAGAAAGTACCTGATAGCAGGGAGTTTCTGGAACAGTTCCTCTTCTTACAGTCACTCTTCCCTGTCTCTGCCCACAGCTCCTCCAGAGCCTTGTACTCAAGCTGTGGTGGTTGACCAAGGAGAGCTTGGTCCTCTCCTGGTCTTTTCTTCAGTCCCTGTCACCATTTAACTTCACTGCTTTTTTTTTATCCTCAAGGAGAAAGTCTTTCATGTGGATGGAGTAGCTGCCAACTTGAGAACAAACCCATTCTAGCCGTGGTTATTTTTAGCAGTACAACATAACAATCCATTATGCTGCAAATAGGTGGGGTTACTGAAACCTTTATTTCGTGCTCTTGTGTACAGGCAAACTGAGGGGAAGCAGATGTTCCCTTAGCGCACTCTGAAGTGAGGCCAGGCACTGTAAGCGAAACTTCCTTACAGGTACTTGGGTTAACTGAGTTAACAAGAAAAAGCAAATGCAGAAATAAAGGAATTGTCTGTTGTTATTTATTTATTTTTAGCTTGATTTTCTTTTTAATTGGAGTAATTTCTGTTCCCCTCAGCAAGGCATCCTGTCAAAACTAGTTGAGTTCTTTAGAAGTTGGTTTCCTTTTCCACAATATAAGAAAAATGATGACATACTTCACCGACTGGTAAGTGATCACTTTTTTTTTTCCATTTCCTTTCCTAATCCACAGCTCTTCCTCTGCTCTTGTACCTCGTCCTCTGAGCACCATCTTTGGCCTAAGAGTTTTGGCTCTAAGAGTTTTACTTCTTCAAATAGTGTTGATTCTGGTTTTCAGAGTTACTGTGCCAGGCAAATTGGGCACAAAAGAACAGGATTATCATTATTATCAGCAGCCAGCTTGAAGATGTTAAAAATGGGGAAGAGAAATCAAAATAAAATGAGTGAGCAATTGAAGAAATTCTTGAAAGCAGAAAGGAGTTAACCTGCCCCGTTTGATGGAAGGCAGTGTGGAGGTGCGGACTGAGGAAGTCCATATGTTGCACTGTAGTGCCTTGCAGACAGAAGGCTCCAGAGCTTCATCTGAGTGTTGCTTCACCCTCTGGTTCACCCCGTTAGCTCAGGCATAGCACAAACACACACAGCTGCACTACCCCTGGACCCATCCTGGCCTAGTTGTTTCTTTGCTGCTCTCCACAGTGCTTTCTGCATTTGGGAAAAACAAAGCAAACCAAGGCACCTCCGTTATGATACTTCAGAACAGTGTCACACATTAAGAGCAGACGACCTCTGTGTAGCAGTCTGGCTGTAGGGAGAGGCAAGAACAGTCTTCTGTGCTACCCATGGGCTCATCCCAGCAGGTCAGAAGCAGGTTGGGTGTCCATCTGCCTCACCAGAAGCTGTATTCTCCTACTCCTGGAGCCTGCAGGAACTTTTAGGGCCCAAGCCAACCTGTGTGGGGTAGACCTGAAGGGTGATAGTTCTACCCCACATAGTTAAAAAATAGTTTATGCTGCCTTTACACCTCTTCTCTGCAGCGCCACTTTCTAGCCAGTTCAGTCTCTAGCCTGGGCTTGTCTGGGATTTGCTTTAACTTGCACCCAGTTGCTTCAGGTTCCTGGTCTGGCTTGCAAATGTCACAACAGTCAGACTGTTCCAGAATCTAAAAGTTAGAGTTTTGGTTTACTTTTTTCTGCTATGAGGTAAGTGTGATGTCTTCAAATGTAGCTTCAAAGAAAAATGTTGAGCAACATGAAAAGTTAGGAGTTTCCATTTCTCAGACCGCCGAGTCCAATTGCCAAGTCCAATTGCTATCTCTTCTCCCTTATCTCACAAGGACAAAATTTCCTCTGGAACCTCTCATTACTGATCTTTGGTTGTCTTTTTTCTTCCTCCCTCTTCCCCTGTGAATCAAAGGTATTAACAGCTTTTTTTAGCCTTACTTTCTTGAGATGGAGACACAGCCAAAGAATATGGAAAACATGTTTCTCCTGCTGCTTGCTGCAGTAGGGTACTGAAATGACACAGGATGCATCAGAGGAGGGCAGAGTTTCCTCTTGCGCACAGTCCCGAAACAAATGTTTTCCATTAAATGTAGAATGCAAGTTAACTCAAGTGACACCAATGTATGGAGTTAAACTTCTGATCTTGTGGTTTCATAAAAAATCTCCTTTTGTCGGTGACAGAACTAGACAGATTTTGTACTGTGAGATGTCATCCTTCTGTTGACAGCTCTTATTAGAGGGTTTATTAGCCATATTCTCCTTTCTCTCCTGTAATCTAGCTGGATGCAAAGACGCGCATGTTCAGTGTTTGCTGGGTTTCGTTACGACATTCTTAACTTGAAGTGTTTTGCAATTATAGTTCGGTGTAGTATGCAAATTAAAATTTCAGGGGGCTTTTCTGGTTAATACATTTGTCTTCAAGAGGTGCTTATTTGTCTTGAAGAGCTGTAGCCACAGAGAAAAAAATAGCAAATAAATGCTTATCATGGCATCAAATCCACAAGTATGTAACTCCCTGAAGTTTGCCTGGAGTTTAGCAAGTGCGAGGTCTTCAGACTCCCGTGCTTTGGGATCAAGTTTGGATCAAGTTCCCTTGGGAAAGGCACAGAATCCTGTGGGAGACAACTTCACTGCCTTGGCTGGGGGCTTCAGTCCAGTGCATCGACCTTACTCTTATTAAGTGTCCACAGGTGGCTTTTTGTTAACTGGTTTGTAATATCTCTCTTTCTAATTTTTGTTTGCTCATTAATGACATAAATTATGTCGTGACGTTAAAAGAAAAAGTGTTTGCTGTTTTATTAATGATCTTCTAATAGGTACGGGACCTCTCTGATTCCTACGCAAATAGATATTGGCACCATCTGTGTGGCACGTTTCCAGGTATTGTCACTATCTAGGTCAGATCACAGAGTCAGTGCGGTGCATCCTGCAAGTCTGAACTGTTAGGTACTATGTGGGGTTTTAAAGTTAAGCAAGTTTAATAATGAAGTAGTTATCTGAAATCTTCCTGCAGTCTTTGAGAACAGATTGTTGTCAGTGAAGTGTTTTCCTTGTTCAGCTAACTTAATTTGAAGAATTTGCATATTCTTTACTAACGCCTGTTTTCTCTCCTGCCTGTCTGTGGTAAGGATGTTGGATTTCGGTTTGACACGCTGCGTACCATCCTGCAACAGGAAGTTCTGCTGCAGGAGGATGTGGAACTGATTGAGTTCCTTGACCCCAGTATCCTGTCTGCAGGGCAGAGTAAGCAACAGGAAAACCAACAGCTTCCAACGCTACGCTCCCTAGCAACTCCTAATATTTGGTATTGTACAGAGAATATCTACCACTATATTCACTGAGAAACAAAAAAAAAACCCTATATGTTGTGTGTTCTTCATATAAAATGTAGCAATAAAGTTACCACTTTTTTTTTCAGGTCTTTGAGTCTTTGGTCCGTTAGTCCCCAGATTTATGGATAAGCATGTTTTCTGTTCCTTGGGCATTTTATTGAAAGAGTGACTTTTAATCTGAGATAGCTACATGAACATAAATGGATATTTACAAACCCTAATTCTTGTCATAAGGAAGAACTCACGTGGTTGATTAATTCATGAATTTTGAAAGCTATATAGTGATGATTTTCATAAATGAGACACAATTGTGTAAACTGTGTTGGAAAGTGTCTTCTCTGCTGTCATCTTCATAGAGTATGTCAATAGTAGGGGAAGATAATTAATTTTCACAGATGTAGAATACCAGAAGAACAGACTAAAGAATATATAAATATGACTCATTCAGAGGCTGGTGAAATTCACCCTAGAATACTGAAGGACCAAGCTGCAGCAGTGTCTGAGCAGCTACCACCTGTATTTGGAAAATACCAAGGGTGATTGGTGTTCTGACAGTGAGTGGCTCAGAAATGGACAGGAATCATTAGATAAAAATATCTCATAAAACAGCCCAGTGCTATGTTTTCTTGTGTAAGTTAGGAAAATAGTTGGAATTATTCTAAAACCACAGCATGTTAAAAACTCCCAACTGTTTAAGATGCAATATGTCATTACTGATGCTCTCTGTCAAACAAGGGAACTTTTGAACCAGATTTCTCCAGTGGTTTGTCCTGGTCTTAGCACTGTTCATTGTTTCTTTAACTGTTTAGAAGATAAAGTGCACTTAAAAATTGGTGAATATTGATTAGCTTACAGTTGACACCAAGTTTTTAGGTGTTTTGGCAGAATGGAGTTCAAAAGTAGCTTGACCAATTGGAGAAATATCTTGAAATAAATAAAAAAGTCAAGAAAGACAAGTGTCTAACGCTGCACTTCGGAAGGAAAAATCAAATTAACAAACACAAAGTGGTGAATTATTGGGTAGACAGTACTGCTGCAGAAAAGGATCTGCACCTTGTTGCAGGTAGGTAATTTAGAGACAGTCCAGAGCAGAATAACAAAAGTAATGAGTTTAGGAAGTGTAAGGAGTTTGGAAACGAGTGTGTTAGGATTGTCTGGCCAAAATGGAGAAAATTGAGGTGGGGTGGAACGATGTGTAGAAGTTATTTAATAGAAAGTGGTTATCAGTTGCCATTTACTCTGTTCAGAAAAGGGAAGGATATGAGGGAAAATAATGCTATGAATTTGCCAATGATTCAGACTGGACTTGGGGGAAATCTTCTGAACTCTAAAGGTACATTTGAGTTGGACTAGCTACCTGGGTGGGTTGTGGGGTCTCCATTTTCTTCTTCAGTCTGTCCGTGATGGTCTGGATTAACCAGAAATCGAAAATGGACAAAAGCAGCTCTTAAATTTATTTTGTGTGTGTGTGTGTGTGTGTGTTGTTATTTTTGTAATGTACCAAGGAAATTATAGACTGTGTGTCTGCCCTTTTTAAAGTTAATTACAATTCTGGAATATTTTAACTCTGGGCCTTTACTGAAACCTATCAGTAGCCCTGAAGAGTTAACACTCGTAAAGATCATTGTAATATGACCACAAAACTGTCCAGAAAGTAGAAACCCAGAGATCGTGTCTTATTTTAGAAATGGGAAAAATTCCTTGTGAATACTTCCAAAATTAAATACAGGATATGCAGCTTAAAGGAGTGAAGAAAGTGAGCATTTTTCTTTCAAAAAGTTCTGAAAAATTGGGGGTGTTAGGCACCTTGAAGCCCATATCCCATTCATCTCTGTGAAGACTGTCGTCATTTTACAAACCTGCAACTGTAATGCTGTATGTGAATCGCAGTGTATTTCCTAGCATTTTCCTATTTTGTTGAATTTTTCTAGATGAAAAGAACAGCGTTGTGAAGTTTTTAAACTTGAGGAAGCTTTTGTACTCGATGAGTAGCTGAACTGAGATGCTAGTAGCTCGGTTCTTTAAGGATTTTCAGAAGCTGCCAAATTATTTAAAGTTATTATTCAAGCCATCTTTATAAAAATGTGTTAACAACTAGTGGTGTGTTGGTGTCCAAGTTAAATGAGTCAGAACCTGGAAAAAATAAAGCTGGCATTACTCGGGGGTTTTGTTACCAAAAGAAACATGCCCTTCCCTACTGTACTCCTGAACCTGGAAGTACAGATCTTCCAGTTCCTACCCATCCTGGCTTATAATGCTGAGTAGTCACGTTTTTGTCTTTTTCTGTTTCCTTTTCTTTTGTGGTTTTTTTCAGAGAAACTGACCTTTCAAAGTGGCACATTATTCTTTTAGTCGTGCCATAAAAAAGCCGGCTAAATGTTTCCTTAGAGTTTACCGACCAAGTAATACCATGTATGTGTACATCTAAATCTGCCATCGGGAGCAGCTTTCCGTGTTTACAGCTCCCTTCAGAACCTACATAAAAGCCCCGTAATAAGATGTCGTAATCTCAAATGTAACTGAAAGCTTCGTGATTTCCCCTTTGCTTGACCTCAGGAACCCGCGGTTGATGGCGCTTTCTCTGCTCGCAGGGATGTCTCGCTGTTGCTTGCCTTCGTGAGCGCGCTGCTTGTGCTGCCTTCGTGGTGGAAGGAGTCGTCGTGGCCGCTGTGGGGACCAGTTCTGCTCGTCTATGCGGTCCTGCGAGTGTGGGGCACATGGAGGACAGCCAAGCTGCAAATGTCCCTGCGAAAATACTGCATCCAGCTGGAAGAAACAGTGGCGAATAGCCGGGCTTTCACTAACCTCGTGAGGAAAGCTCTGCGGCTCATTCAAGAGACTGAAGTAATTTCCAGAGGATTTACCCTGTGAGTCTATATTTCACTTTGTTTAATATGCAGATCCATTCAAGCCAGATGTCTTCTAAAATTGTCTCGTTACACTGTCTCCCATAACAAGTGGCAATGCTGAAAAACATAAAGCTTTTCTTTGAAAGTATGAATTCTAACAACTCAGTGTTAAAACCCTGCGTCCTGTAGGAGAATTAAATTTCACAAAACTTGTATGCCTTTGAAATCTCCAGCTCTGATAACAATGAGGTACATAAAGAAATGGATTTTGAATCAATTTAGTTAACTATTTTGGGGAGTCATTTTGAGGGTTGGTTGTTTGAGAGGTTTTTGTATCTTCTATTACCAAATCTTTGTAAATAAACTGACCTGCAAGTAATGATTCATATTTTAGAAAACAAGATGACATGAAAAACATTCTGGTTTTTTATTTAACAAATAACAGTCTGAAGTAATGAGAACACAGCAATCGGCAAAGACCATCGAAGGTCATTTCCCACCTCAAAAAAAGTTTACAATACCTTTTTTTCCTTACACTTAGGGGATGTGAAATTGTTCCAGGTTATTCAGCTCTTGTAGCTTTTGCTTATTTGCTATGTGAAAGGACATCAGGACGTGTTCAGTGTATGCAGTGATCTCAAAGCCAACAGGCCCCTTTCTGTGCCCTCTCATTGCCACATGTGCTTTTCCCCAGTAACAACCTTAGGTTAGATGTGTACCTGTGCCAGTTACACTTAAGGTTAAAGGAAATGGGGAATGCCAACAGCTGAAATCCAGTCAACCTCTTTCTAAAAACAATAAAAATTTCCCTTGTGTGCACCAAGAAATTGTTTGTTCATGCCACACCAACTATTCTGCTCTCAGACGCGTGTTTTCACATGCAAGCTTGAAACTGTAGACTTAACATTTTGAATTAATTTTCTAGCTTGAGATACCTTCGGTATGCTTTGTTGGAGAAATGTTTCATTCTCCCTTTGGAATGCATAAGCATGTCTTCAGTCTGCCTAGCTATGTGTTGTGTTTTGGGGTTTTTTGCTGAAGAAGCATATAGTTAAGCAATAGGCAGTCTTATCTTTGCAAACGGGTTCTTAAAAGAAATTATTGTCAGGGCTTGTCCAAATTACAGATGAGAAAAACATTTGGATTTTTTCCTAAGTTTAAGCAAATGAACTTGTGGTCAATGTCTAAGTTGCTGGTGCCTTGTTCTTTTACTACATATCTTAGATAACAGATTAACAAAAACCAGACTGGTCTTTAAGCTGATGCTTGATCTAATAGCCTCTTTACTTAAAACTTTGGCAAGCTTTTCAAAAGACTTTTGAGTATGGATGGAGTGGGAGAAGTCTGACTGTGCCAGCATCCTTGTTGCAACAGTTGTGCAGCATGAAGAAGGCAGTGCTGTACAGGTTTTGGTTTGGTTTAGCCTGGAGGAATTTCTAACTCCAGAGTGTCCTTTTCTGCATCCACATATGCAAGAGATGCTGCTGCTACACAGGGCACTATGAAATTCTTTGCTTCTGATAGAGGTCCAGAAAACTCGCTACCCCTTTTTTCTTCCAGAATTTTGCTACAATAAACCTCAGCAGAGCAAGGCTTAGTGGGTTCTCCTGTCCTAATGCTTGTTCAGAAGGAGTCATGTGGCAATAGAAATGGTTGCATCTGAAAAGTTCATGAGTATCATGCAAGTGTCATTTTGCATCCTTGAAGGAATGGGACTTCAACCACGTGGTACCTTGTTCAATTATACATATGCTGCTGTTTCAGTATCCTGCTAATTCAGCAGAGTTTGGGCTGTGCATTAACCATGTTGTGAATGGAAAGATGCTGAAGCTGACATTTAAATACTGAGTTCAGATTTTGGCTATTTACATCTGCTTTGAAATATCCATGCCTTTGCTTTATTCTGCCCTATTTGCTCCTTGTTAATTGATATTTCCCTGGCTCTGTAAATGTTAAATTATTCTTGATGAGGATTTGGTCAGTTGTCCACTGGTTCACTAGTTTACTACTCTGTGGTAGTCACTGCTATATGCTTAATCAATTCAAGCATCATTTTGCCTTCATTCTCCTCCCACCCAAAAAACTCAACAGCAGCCACTTGGAAAAGGAACTAAGAACCCTGTCAGGCCTCTTTTTATAGTAGCTGCTCTCAAAGGCAACTGGATGTTCTGATTTCAGAAAGGCCTTAGGAGTGTTTAAAGCTGCTGTTGGCATTTCAGGTATGTCTGCATGGTACACGCTCTGTGATGCAGAGATGCCTGAGGCCTCACCAGGGCAGTTTGGCTTACAGACGTTGTGTAGCCGAGGTAGAGCAGTGCTCTGCTCAGACAGAAAGGCAGTATTTCTGTCTAATTGCTTCATTTGCAATTAGACAAATGAAGCCTCATCACGAGTTGCAGCCTGGAATTTCCACTGGGTAATGAAAGTACGTCCATTGCCTTGCACATTATGAAATGAAGACTGGAGAAATATGTAATGAAGGGCTGCAGCAATAAGCAGCAAGCAGTTATTTCCTTGCCTGTCACTGAAATAATTAGCTTTTCTCCAAAATGCTCCCTTCCTACTATATTTTGAACTAGAATCAAGCTCTACGAGCACATGTTGGTGTATACGGCATCTTTATAGAACTGGTTTCACATTGGAGTCCAGTAATAGGTTTTTATTAATGTGTCTATACACGTTTGTTAGAAATTGAAAGCCTATTTAAAATTTGGCGTGTGAGATTGATGGAGAAATAAGTCACTGTTCTTCACAAGTAAAATGACTTTGGAGCAGTAGGAAAGTGGAAATTCACCCTTAACCTTTTCTTCATCTTGCTATTTGTGGCTGATACACAAAGCTGATAATATTTTGTAAGTCCAATTAAAATATATAGAAGGTAAATGGAACATTGGGAAGTTATGGATATGGCATGTCTGGCACATAGACATTTACAGCAAGTTATACTAATTTAAGATTACTGTAATAAAGAAGAATTATTTCATAAGAATCACTGAAACAAGCCTTCCCAGAAGGAAAGCAAATTGTTTTGCTGAATACTGGCAGTACATGCTGTGCATGAGTTCTGCTACATTCGTTCTCTATAGGAGCTGGAAATGCTTACATTGCTGTAGCAGAACATAGACTTCTTTCTTTCTTTTATGGTAGAAGAATTTTGCTCCTATTCTTTGTGCCTGCTTCTGACAATTCACCCAGGGCTTGAGTCTACAAATTGATGTGAGAGTTTATCCATAAACACTTCCAGTTGTTGACTTCAAAAGCCAAGGAAACATTAGAGATTGGCATGTACTACATTGCATGCTGTGTTCCCTCGTGAAATGTATGGCAAGACTAACATTTGAAATTTATGTTTAGAAATTGAAATTAACCGTTTGTTTTTATTTGATGATTCTATGATATTGAAGTACTTTATGAGACGTTGTATAAACCATTTTTATAAACCACTCACATAACTTAATATAGTACACAGCTCTTTTAATATGGTATTTCAGCTAGTGTATTCAGTATACTGCAGTATTTGGCATGAATCTCCTTGTGTTAATCGTATATAATGTACTGACATGGGTTCAGCCTTGCTCACTGGGTGGGCTGCATTGCTTTTCATATTTGACAGTGGATCAGCTATTTCCCCTCCCGGTCAATGTGCAGCATGGTCCGGCTAAGCCCATGTCATAGGACTGACATTTTTGCAGTAAGGTCAAATCTTCTGGCTTAGTCAGCTCTTCAGTTGGATGGGCTACAGGAATAGGTACCAATGCAGCAACCTAGCTCTTGCCAGGCACCCCTGTCTTGCCAGGCACCCTGTGTGCTTTTCCCTTTTAAGTGGCTGTGGACATGAAATCACCTCCTCACTGTGCCCTAGGAAAGCTGAGAGCAGAATCAGGCTTCCAGTCCCCAAACAGTTCATCACAACTCATCATCCTGATGTCCACCCTACGTCCCTTCCCAGGTTGATTCTAGTAAAAGCAGTCCCAGCAAGTAGAGCGCACCTCAGCTGTTTTCAGTGTCTCAGTCACAGGTTTGGCATCAGATTGTATATAAATAGATATAACTGGATATTAACCTTTTTTTTCCCCTTTTCTACAGCTTAATGTTGCACAGACATGTTTAACATTGACCCAGTTCACAGTTCAGTTTATTTCCAGATGAGGCAATTTCTGTAGTTCTAAAGCCATTCTGAAGTATATTCTAATAGGCAAATGGCACAGCTTCTTTTAAATGGTATCTTCACCTGGATATGTGGACACCAAAATGTATTTTCAAATATGCTTGTACAGTTGCATACATTTCATGTGTTTACCTGTCAGACTCCCACAGACACATCTGTCATTCATTGCATGATGATAAAATCTATGTCACCACTCAAATAATATTTCTGTTGATCTAGAGAAGATACTGGATGGAGAAGGTTGAAAGAATTACATTGTTTTGCACGAAAACCAGTATGTTGTAGCAGATTTTCTTCTGCCAAAAAATATTTAAAGAACAGATTTGCATATAAAGAAGTATATGATGATTATCTGTGTGTTAAAACTCCCAAAGCTTAAAGTGAGCTAATGATAGTTTTGTATCAGAGATAATGTTATGGCCTGTCTGCCTCTAGTGTATAATTTTGCAAAACTTTGCAGAAAACCTCAAGGGTTTTGCTATGGCTCAAATGAGAACAGAATCAAGCTGACTACTGAGGAGTCCTAGCTGAATATCTAAAATTTTTATTAAATAGATCATTGATATGATGGATTTTTTGTTCCTGTTGTAGTCTTTGAGTTGTTTGAAAAAGTTTTCTAAGTAATAGACTAAGAAAACTGATGTACTGTCTTTTAAAAATACTTTAGGACATCTGTACAGTTGTATCACATTTTACTTTTCAAGTTTGCTTGACAGGGTCAGTGCCGCTTGCCCATATAATAAAGCTGGACAGCATCCTAGTCAGCACCTCATTGGTCTCCGGAAAGCCGTTTATCGGTCCGTCAGAGCCAACTTTCGAGCTTCAAGACTGGCTACTCTTTACATGCTGAAAAAATATCCTTTTTTTAAAATCCCACAAGTTCAACTATTCCATGTTACCTACCTGTAATTGTGCCAATGTTTAGAGTTAGTATGTCTAGAAACATAGACTATCTAACGACATACAGTAGGGGCTATATTAATGTATATATAATATATTGTTTTATAATTGCTCTTAGCTATCTTTTCCCCTTGCACCAAAAAAACCCCTCTCCTCTGAACACTGTGGCCTTTCACTCGACATCGCTCCATTCAGAGGTAAGTTGATTTCCTGTTTCAGACAAGCTGGGTGAAACTCTGATTACATTCATTAGTCAAAAGGCACACGTAAGAGCGGGGAGTTTCTACTCTGAATTGAAGAAGAACACTTTGTTCAGATTCCATTTTGTGAAGTGTCATCTGTATTAGGTAAACTGTATACTTCCTGAAATGGCATTAGCATTTCAAGGTGTTTTTCTATGTTTATTGTACTGTATTATATAGGAAATAACAATGTCTTCACCCTGCATGATGGCAAAAATTACAAGAGTTGTGTTCCTGATCTGAAAAAACACATGCAGGGAAACAAAAGCTGGTGGTAATGCGAGTGTTGAAAATCTGACATGACAAACTACTTGTTCTGTCTTCCTGGAACATAATATTTGACTAATATATCTTGCATGGCAAATGGATGGATGTATCGAGTGATGACATATGCACGCACAGAGGCACACGAAAAGCTACGAGTGAGTGCATTCACTTTAGAGGAAATGAGTATTGGTTTGCAAAATAGCAACTTTTTTACAGATAGGAACCCTCATTCTGGGCTCAAGACTTCACTGTTAGCTCTGAGAAATATGGTGTATTTGCTATGTACAGAAAGAAAATTATACCGTGGCTGGTTCAGACACGTTGGTAAAAGCAACAGATACCTCCTTTGGAAATAATCAAGAATCACTTCCAAGGACATTGGAAGAGATCTGGAAATGGTATCAAACACCCTCCAGCATGAGGAAAGTCATTCCAGCAGTGGTTATGACCGATGTGTAGATTGTTGCTGCGGCCAGGGAACTTACAGGTTCAGGGAATATTGGTGTGTATTACACTGTCCACTAGTTTTGTAACTACTAAACCTAAGGAATGGCTTTTAAATTAAAGAGTGGGAGAGAAGGAAGTTCTATTTACTTTGGATAATTTGACATTTATGTCTGTCTTTGAAAAGTTTTTAAGATGGAAGTTGCATTATACCAATTTATCAAGCAGGTATCACAATAGTAAGGGCCAGCAGAAATAAATGACCAAAAATTTATTGAAGTTGCATGTTAGGTTCTTGACAAATGGAAACAGAAGCATTATATTTGTGCAGAACAAAGTGGAAAAAACAGTGGTAGCATGTGAGCTGAGATGCAAGCTGGGCCAATTCTACAGTGCATGAAAACTGAAAGTAAGGGATTGAAATGTAAGGAAGGTGAATAAAGGATTCCTCTTCCCCACCAGCATAATGAAAAGCAGCTTTAAGGTTGTTCCAAGTTGCCTTAGTTTGAATTTTTGCCCGTGCATCGTGAATGCCTGAAAATGTTATGTGTATTACATGGGTATTGATGGCAAGGAGCATCTTTCAAATAGGTTCCAGTGCCCCGTGCAATTAAATAGCGCTCCTGTGCTTGAGGGGCCAAAGATTCCTTCATGTCGAAAGCATTCACAGCTGCCGCTTGTGACAGCTTTAATGCCCTTGTCCGTCATCAGGTTGTCAGCACAAATCTGGCCTACAGCAAGGAGAAAGAGGAATGGAGAGACTAAATAAAGAAGTGAGGTGATAAATTGAAGGAAAGGAATGTTGATAAACTAAAAGAAAGAAACTTCCATCCAAAGTCTGGAAATGCTGACTTTTACATTTCTCGTTAGTAAGTTCTACTTTGCACAAAATTTGAAGATATTATCGACTTAGATCTTCTAGGTTGTTTGAGTATGAATTAATGGATTGCTATTTGAAATTTGCTTTTTCTGAGCATTGTGAGAGACATGAATCCAGTAGCACTATTAGTGATTTACACTGGCAACAGCAACATAAAATGCTTATATTAGAGAAACATTCAAAATATTTAAAATTTGGAACAATATTACAAAATTATATTAAAAAACCCCACAAAACCTATTTTCCCTATTTAGTCATAATACTGTTTAAATAAATATTTTTTGTTTTACTGGACGTTGCTTTGCATTTTTGTTGTAGAGCAGATGTATCTCTGTATTTAGGCAAGTGAAAAACTGAATGATTTATCACCTCCTAATCTCAAGGGCAACAAAATACTGCCAGCTAATACACTAAAGATCACATCTTTGTTCCAGTTTAAGTGATGACTGATCATCTCTTAGGGCAGTTTTTCTCTTTAAAGAATAAGGAAGTAGTAATTTCTTAAGAGTGTGAGCAAATACATAGGACAGGCACTGCTCTGAACCATGGAGTGTGCATTTCATGAAAACACTTATGTGCATGTATCAATGGGAAAGAAACTTCTGTATTACAGTTTGTTCTCCTTGGCCAACAGTATCCGGTTGATAACTGCAACACGGGCATGAAACTTATCATTCAACTACAGTGGTGGCTGTGTTGTAACTCCAGAGATCCTTTCGGTGCCCAGTTATCAAAATAAGGTCCTAGTCTGTGTCTGGGCCTTCTGAGTGGTTTAACCTGGCAAACAGCTGAACACTGCACAGCTTGTTCGCTCAATTTCCTTGCCCCACCAAGGATGGGGGAGAGAATCGGGAGAGTAAAAGCAAAAGAACTCATAAGTTGACATAAAGACTATTTAATAATTAAAATAAACCAAACTGAAATAATAATTATAATAATACCGATGAATTGTAGTAAAGATAGGAACAACGGTAATAAAGCGATCAAAGTTATGCTCAGCTCACAAACAGCAGTCGCTGGCCATATGCCAACAAAAACGCAACAAGGGAAAGATAAGCCTCAGGCCACCATCATGAAGTAGAAGGGAAGGGAAGAGAAAGCATTGAAGGAAAGGAAGAAGATAGGAAGAGGTCGTCCCCTACAAACTCCCCAATTTATGAGTGAGTGTAACATCTGTGGGATAGAGTACATTTTATTGGTCTGGTTAGATCATACCAGGATCACCTGTCCTGGGTCACTTCTCCTAGAAAATCCCGGGCTTTCACTTCCCCTCCCATTCTCTTGTGCAGAGAGAAGGGGGAAAAAAAAGAAAACCCAACCAAAAAAAACCACAAAAAACCCAAACAAAACCAAAAGAAGCTATAATCACAGGTGCTCGCAAAAGACTGAAAAATAAACTCTGAGATATGTAAACACTGGCATGTTATCATATCGGTCCCAGCATAAACCCAGAAAAAGCTTTCACTAGCTGCTATGAGGAAAATAATCCTGGCTAAAGCTGTAATATCGACTTGTGTTCACTAAAGCGAACCCTGCAGTTTTCTCAGAAATGCAGTTCTGCTGAAACATTCAAAGGGAATTCTACAGTTCAGTCCCAGCAAAACCAGGACACTACAAAAGAATGATAATGTGAAGCATGTCCTGTTTTCCTTCATGCTTGTGTTTCTTAAAATAAACCTGGAAATCTGAGATTGAAGTCTACAATGTAGTGAAGATAATTGTTGCCTTAAGGCTATGGTAAACATGTCTTCAACTGAGACATGTCTATTATTTGATATAATGGTTAAAGTACTGTAGACAATGGTATGACATTTGCTAATGTAGTATAAGGTATACTTTGATTTAAGCTTTCATTTAAAACATTGTTATATATTCAGAACTTACTAGAAATATCTGCAGCTCAATTATTTTTCACGCTTACTACGTCAGAATATCCCTTTCCAAAATAATTTGCAACAAGATCAGTTTAATCATGTGTGGCTTAATATGAACCGATAATTTTATTTACTTCAAAAATATACATTTATGTGTGCTTAACAAAATCAGCTGAACAGCCTCTTATAGGTACTGTTTTCTAAAATAGGTTGCACGTATGTAATGTTAAGTCAAAAAAGTGCTCAGAAATAAGCAAACTCTATTTCAATGGTTTGGGGTTTTTGCCAGAAACAGCCATTTCAGTGAATGATGTTGTGCAGACATATGTTTGAGCTAAATTCTACTGTGAATTTTCATAAACTTGGTAAGTTATCATTACTTGCTTCAATAAAACTAGAAGTTTGGCAATATTTGTTTGTGGCTAGTGTGCCCCATTTTAGCTAGACAGCTGCCTTCAGTGACTAGAATAAATTAATACTAATTTAATTAATACTAATTAAAATTTGTTCCCATGTCAAATAGAAAAAATATACAATTATACTTTAGCCTTATTTGTATCAGACTTGGTGGACCAGTAATTTAATGAGATGGAAAGTCATATTCCTTACATTTTATGTATAGGGACAGCTGGGTGCTTGCAGAAACAATTCGGCATCTTCTCATGCCATTCTTATTCTGATTTATTCATATCAGCAAGAGTACACTGCTCAGAATCATAGAAGAAAAAGTCAGAAGGGAGAAAAGAGAAGAGTATTCCTCTTAATCTGGCAGATAAGGGTATAGCAGGATGCAATGGCTGAAAGCTTAAAAATGGAGCGTTTTGCATTGAGTATTTACAGGATGTTGCAGAGGCCAGTTGCTACTCGTTCAATAAATCTCTGCACTCCGCTGCGTTGTGTAATAGCTCAGACAGTACTTCAGTCGGCGTGCTCGTTGCTTAATATTTTTATACCTAAGAGCCTTGTGGGTTCTGCGTCATGAGAATCTGTGGTTTATCCACTGATTTAATTATATGCAAGCTGGATGGAAAAAACTTTGTAATGAAGTCAATAGTCTTATCCTCAGCGGGTGCAAGATGGTGTGATACCCCATTTCCATTGAACTATATCGATAGGTAGGACCTGGGTGTTGGACCATGTAAACTGAAAAAACTTTAATTTTGTTGTAAGTGTAAGGTGTCATTCTCCCATGGCAAGGCATAAATAGCGTTATAAAAACTGGCACTGGATAGCAGTTAAACTGTTAGGTACAGGGGTGCTTTGGTGTTCTTGCTTTTCTATAAGTAAGATCAGTCTTGTGACAGAGGTTAGACATTCACTGTACAGATACTTTATTCTGGGTTTAACAGTTTATTATTAAGTAGCTTTGCCTTTTCTTCTTCCAAGCTAATGAAGAATGTAAGTTAAACAGCTAAATGAAATATTTTCACAAAGACAGAGAAAAATTTAGTTACTGTATTTTGGCTTTAATAGAAAACATTAGCACTAAAAATACTTGTCTTTTAGAGCAGAGTGCATGAAGGCAGCATGTGTAAATGTTTATATTTGTGTGTATGCATTTAAACTTTCTAAAGGTTTAGTCCTTGGGAAGCAAATGAGGGCATGGGATCAGTTCTCTTCTTACATCTAACACACAGAGATGGGAGTGGGAGGGCTACAGTAGGGCAGGGCAAGGCAGGAGGTGCGGGAGTCCACTGGGAATCAATCCCTGGCTGAGACACAGCATCACTAAGGGGCTCCTTTGGTCAAAACACTCATCTGAGATGTTGTCTGGAACTATTTTTTAGCATGACTTAGAAATTCATGTGTGTCCAAACTGCTTTTTATGGTGTTCGTGCTGTTGGAAATGCCTTGTTACGGGAAAAGATTAACAAGGATTATAATTAGTCTCCGAGATAACTGATCCGAAAAGGTTTTGACCTGACTCTTCAATCTCTGGTGGAGTTGCCATCCTCATCCCATGTGCTCCATCTGCTGGGCATGCTGTCAGGTTAACTCCAAATACCCTTGGTTTATGGGAGGCAGCTGCTGGTGGCAACAGTAATATTCTGTTTCTAATTAGTTTGCGTTGCAGGTTTTTGTCTGAGCACTTCTTTCTTCCTGGACTTTGGGGAGAAATAAGGGATAAATCTATTGGTTTAGAGCCTGGACACTCAGCATTGCTGTTTCCTGATACACAGAATATTGTTTCTACTCAAGTGGTAAAAATGTTCTTAAGCAAATCACTTTTACAAGTTCAGTCCTAGGAGAATTCAGCACATGAAGAATTTGGGAGTGAAAGTGGGTGGAACTTGTAGCTTCCCCAGAAAATGTATTAGTTGGACAAGAGACAAGTGCTTCTAACTGGTTTTATGTGCCCCAAGAGGATGAGAGCATTAAATTGAAATATAAATGAAAAAAACCCATAGTTTAAATGAAGGCCTTATTTTCACAAATGCTTTACAAATATATATATATTGGAACAAATGTGCCTATGACCATAAGTTGTACGCTTTTGTTTTAAAGCAAATTTTACTATTTTGTGACTGGATAACTATCTAAAATCGGCAGAAATCTTGAACTGTTCCTTCTTCCCCTTCCCCAGCATGAGATTAGCCTAAAATTAGTGCTGTTTTAAAATGCTGCCTAGTCTATGAATTATTTTTATCTGTCTTATGGTATCAGTCATATTGTGCTTTCTTCCTACTTTTGGAAATGTCCATTTTCCTACTCAGAATTTAAATGTGCTGAATAGTGTTGCTAGATAACAGCTTGCTGCTGTTCCTGCCAAGATCACAGTGGCTTTTGAGCCTTGTAATCAATGAAATTAATTAATCCCTGATGACAGTCAGGGAGCTCCTGTTCTTCATTGTACTCTCTGATATGTCCAAGAGCAGTTCTTGCAGATATCTCTGAGCCATTCCTCCACAGACAGAACTCGCAGGGCATTCCCATCCTGAAACTTGAAATTGCACAATTGTTCTTTCCTCTGTTAAATATCTGATTTCTGGTTTAAGATTGACATGAGCTACTTCTTGGAAACTTAATATTTAGAGATATTTTCCTCACTTGAAAGGAATGGAGGGGATTTTCATCAACCTGCTTTGTTTCTTTTTATGTGTTTGTATTTAGACATAGACATTTTGTCAGTGTTTTATCTGTAATGCTTACAACAGCATTTAAAACTTGTGCTCTAAATAAGGATTGCCAAATGTTCAACTAAACAGGATTCAGGTGGATTTGGGTGGAACGTTATGTGCTTTCATAGAAATTGCCTGAAATAAGAAACCATATTAGATGTTTTTCTTCCTTTCCTGCGTGTTTAATGCAAAAGTTGCTTTGTTAACCGCCTTAACTCCAGCTAAACCTACCCTCTGAACTCGGAGAGCGACAACGTGACCAGCTACATCTGCGTAGTCCCCTTTAAGGAGCTGGGCCTGGGTCTGAGCGAAGAGCAGGTCTCTGAAGAGGAGGCGCACAACCTAACCGATGGCTTCAGCTTGCCTGCGCTCAAGGTAACCTCTCCTGGATGGACACATGCATCCGCACAGGCTCCTTTCAGCTGTTCAAAACCCTCTGGCTCATATGTACTAACCTGCAGTAACACGGTCAACTGAGGGGGAGATGTTATCTGTCTCATATCATAGGTTTCCACATTGATTGGCATTTAGGTGATTTCTTTTTGCACATAATGGAAGTTGCACAATTCAACATTAGAAATTTTTTTCTACCAATCTTTTAAATTCAAGGAAGTGTTTTCTAATCAGCTTGAGCAATCTCCTTCTTAAACATGATTTTTGCTCTCTGATTTCACTTGATCCCAGCTGAATAAAATAATTTCCAGATTTGTACTTACATCTTTTTTACCTAATCTCTTGACTTGAATAAAAAGAGAGACATCAGAAGATATAAATTAGTTGTAATTGCCAAAGGGAATAACTGCATTTAGTTGCACTGAGGAGTAGAAATCATAGGCTTGGACCCCTGCTGCTGTGAGCCAGTGTGGTTCTTTGATCTTTGAAAAGCATTTAACTGAAGAGAATGACAACCATTTAATGGCCTTTTTATCTATTTTGCTTTGAGATGTTAGGTATTTTTAATTTGCATGAGTCAATGTTTGCAATTGGAAAGAAGATCTAATTTGAATGCAAACCTTCTACGCTCTAGGGGTTCTCTGCTGAGGTAGTCCCCTTTTAACATTATTTTTTTAATGGAAAATTCCATTGTTATGTGACTTCTGTGCTTCCATGGGGTTGGCTCTTGTTGCATTTTATTCACTTAATTCCTAGACCTTGACTTCTTTTGTTCTGGCCGTAAATGTTACCAGTAATAATGACTGCTAAGCTTTGAGGCTTTGTCTAATTAGTTGTAAACTAAGAGCTACAACAGATGTAAGCTTTGGGGATTTTTTTCCTTGCCTTTTCATTAGCTGAAGTTCTAATTGCAACCATGCAAGCCCACTCATTTACCCACTTCTTTTAAAGCACAAGAAGCCAGTCAGAGGTGCCCAAGCTTGTAAGCTCAGTCTTTGTTTAGCTGCAATTTGCTGTAATTCAACTGTTTTAGTTAAACTGGTTGGGATGCTTTCTGGGTGCACAGCTAATAAATCTCAGTTGATTTTAACTCCTAGCCCGCAGTGATGTAGGCTGGGTGTTGTGTAGTTGGACCAAGCTAAATTAGCATCAGTCCATCCTGAGCAGATTCCTGCGTAGATAAGAAAATAGATAAACTCCAATAAGCTTGGGACACATTTGTGTTGGATTCATATGCAGTCCTTTTCAGTTATTGTTTGTTTTTATTGTAAAATTTGAACTTGTCTTTATATTAAAATGCAGGTAGAATATAGATGTGTATCCACATTTGGTTAATATTTTAATTTTCCTTCAAGGCCATGTCTAGGCCATATGACAAATGTGGCCTGTATCTTTTGGCTATTTTGTCCTTGAGCTAAACCAATTTAAAGAATGAAAAATTTTGGCTTAAGAAAAAAATCCCAGTTCAAGCTGAGGAGAGCCAGTTGGATGTTTTGGGTGACGTTTAAGTGTCAGGAAAAGTCCTCAGAACTCACTGGCAAAGCAAGCTATTTGCAACCCTAAATACATCTGGCATTTCCTTTTCTCTCATCGTTGTGCCTGTTTTCAGGTAGGTTTTGGATTATTATTATCAATTCCTGAAGTCCACTACTTTTGTGTGCTACTTTTTCACTGCTTTTGCCTTACGTCTGGTGAAAGGATTGGTCTTTTGTGCTTATTATAGCATGAGCTTTTGACTTTCTATCCAGGGCACCACACCTTCAGGGACACTTAAGTGACTGCTGCCCATTTGCTTGCTTTTTATTTTAGCACTCAGCCAAGTCACAGTCTTGCATGTGTGCCCCAAATTAATTTCATATCATTTTGTGTTCTTTCTTCTCATAACCATCTTTTGTAAATTGAGATTTATTTTTCCTTTTGGAATATTTTATCGGTTTGCATCCAAGTATTTTTTATATACCCTTGGGTTATATCAGACCACATCTATCTGAATGCATTTAATTTTTTGTGTTACTGTTCTGAATGTTTTACTCTTGATTGTTTGCACACTGGAAAAAACTGCTACTTGTTCGTAGTAGTATGAGTGCAAAGATGTATATATATTATTTAAAATCCTGTCCATCCAAAATCTTGAACAAGTAAATTGTTAGTCCTATTCTGTAGCTGAGAGGGGTGGAAAAAAGCATGATGTGTAATTACTTTGTCTTCCTCAGTCTGGAATGCTTGAGAACAGATTTCAGACTGCATCTCATAGTCATGTACAGTCGATCCCTTTCAATAAGGGCCACTATTGCAGAAAGAAGTGTCATAACCTTTCCTTTGCATTTGAGAGATATAAGATGCTACTGTTCTTTCATGGTCTACTGAGCCAGCAGTCTTCTCTAAACTAAGAAAGCAGCTCTTTTCATTTCATTGGAAGTGGCACTTCTCAAGAAATGGCAGTTGTGGGTTTTCTTACTCCCAGATGGACCGACCTCTTTTGTACCACATACAACATTGGGAATCGATTCATTTCTTACAAGCCTTTCCCTCCTTAGTGACATCGGTGGAATTTCTCACTTTGGCTGAAGAAAAAGAAAAACTAAGTTAGCAGCTCAGGTTTCTTCAGATGTAGAATGTTTTTTGCTGAAGTACGGTGCAATTAGACTTGTGTTTCAAGGTTGGCTGTGGGGCAGCGCTGTAATTAGGAGATTGTAGAAATGATAGCTTGGTGTTATAAAGGAAAAATGTCTTTGCTGCCACTGGAATTTTGGCAGCCCTCTATGAGCTGTAGGGTATGTGGAGATTATAGCAAATAATGAAACTGCCTGATGAGAATATGAGTTCTTAGGCCTCTGACAACCCTCTGAGCATAATTGCATATAATATCCTTCATCAAAAAATTAACAGTCACCTAAGGTTCACAAAAGCTGGAATACCCTTCAAAAACATTCAGCAGATTTTTGCCGTTTTTCAAAGCCCCTGTAGCTGGCCAAGGAATGCTTTCCCGTGGCGTATCTGTACATTTCCTTTGGAGGCTGGCTGTCTTCCCAGGGGCACAGAGCTAACCCTGTCCTGTTTTGCAGGTCCTCTTTCAGCTCTGGGTAGGGCAGAGCTCAGAATTCTTCAGGAGGCTGGTGCTGCTCCTCTCCCCAGCCAACGCGTCCCCCAAGACCTTGGTCTCCCCTGAACGGCTGCCTCATCATATCTTGTCTGATGTGACCCAAGGCCTACCTCATACACATGCTGCCTGCTTAGAGGAGCTTAAGCGAAGCTATGAGTTTTATCGGTACTTTGAAACTCAGCACCAGTCGGGTTTTGAACGGCCAGCCAGAACAAAACAGAAGTCAAGAGAGCTGAACAGCCTGCAGACGGCGGTACGCAGCTTGCAGCTCCATCTCAAGGCACTGCTCAATGAGTAAGTTGACACATGAATGAAGAGAGTTTGCCTGTCAGAAGAAGGCTTCAGACCTGAGTTCTTTGGGTTGTCAGCTGGTGTCCTAGATTAAAAACAAAGAACGGCAGATAGGTGTAGTCACTGCAGTCACAGGCATATCTTCACATAGTATGGGGTCAAAGATCCTTGGTTCAGGATGGAGTCTGAGATTGTTTCCTGGTTCTTCTTCAAGTACCTGGTGAAAATTCAAAGCTAAGCAGCGCTTTAAGATTTTGCCTCACTTTTGTCACTCCCTTGAAAAAAATCCGAAAACATACTTATTTTTCATTGATTTTGCAACATACCAAATGCTTTATAAGAAAGTTCAGCTCGTAGTAACTCTGTAGTAAATAATTCAAAGATTTGGCACTGCCTTGGTGAAATAGTTGAAACCGTCCGACTCCTTTAATCTTCCATATAAGAGTTAGTATAATGAATGCAAGTGAACAGTGTATCTTGATGGGGAGAAGAGGATCTTGTTTTTAAAATTTTGAGGCATCTTTGAGGAGCTGGCTGAATAAGATTTTTAAAATTTGAAGAAAATAATAGGATATTAAATTAAATACTTCAAGTAATGGTGAAGTCCAATATTTATTTTTACTTATTTCTGTTCATCTCCTCATCACTTAGGGTAATAATTCTTGAGGATGAACTTGAAAAATTTGTTAGCACGAAGGAGACACCTGAGTTGACAACGGAAGCCCATCAGGTTCTGGAACAAAAATTAAAGTTTATTCAGCCTCATATCCAGGCAAGCAACAGCTGCTGGGAAGAAGCCATTTCTCAGGTGGAAAGAATGAGCGGAAGAAACCCAAATAAAAAAGGTAAATGTGAGAGATTAATTTAGCAACTATTGGGATACGCTTTAGAGATGGAATGGTCCAAAATGGTCAAAACAGCGTTCAGGCTGTGTATCAGAATTTTAGCTGAAGAAGGCCTTACAACCATACGCTTTGAAAAACTATATACGTATGTCAGGCTTTTTCCTTGTGATGACCTTGAAGCTTTTGTTTCAGCAAAAAATGTAAATGTGTTAACTCAGCCTGTTAGACCTATGGATTCAAATTGCTACGTTTCCAGGTGTACACTGATTGATAGTGGCTTTTTGATTGGTGAATCACATGTGATGGGGTAGGATTTTGTTGAATCATCTCTGATATTTTCATTTATTTACTGCATAAAAATTGCGTGTTTAATTGGAATGACAATGGCATTGCCATGGAAACTTTATGGACAATGACATTTCCCAGAATATTTTAAATTGTAGAGGATGTACTGAGCATATAATACCTGTTTACCTGCTCTTTAAGAGAGAGTGACCAAATCTTCTGTGTGCTTAAAAGTCATACTGAGCAGCCTATCCCAACGTTTTGCCTTGTGTCCCTCTCCTTACAGCCCAACCTGTTCTCCTTGTGAATCACAACTACCATAAATGATGGAAGTGAACTCAGGCTCTCCTGATACGGAGCTGAATCTATAATATGTAATCATTTTTCCAGGAGCTTTTTTACTGTCCTAGGAAGGCACAGCCCAGCATCTGAAAAATGCTGGTTATGGAGACTGCATTAGGAAAATTACGACTTGGGGTATCAGCAAGTTACCTACAGAAATCCAAATTTGTACTGAGCTAAGCTCCTAGTGATACGTGGGTGGGATATCCAGTAGATGGATGAATATTGCCGTGGGCCTAGGGATGTCCAAGCTGGCCTTGTTCATTCTTACATCAGAACTGGGAGCACTGGGAGGCCAAATGCAGGCTCTGTGCAGGTCCAGACACGGTATAACCAAATTTGTGTGTGCTTTGCCTGATAGTCCAGTCTTACAACTTCCCTCTCGGTGCTGCACAGAACAACCTGTGAGGACATTAGATGTGTCCTGATACATCTGCTTGTGTTAAGTCTGTGGTGTTTTGTTGATGCCCTTCACAACCAGCAGTTCCACTGATCTTTTTTTTCCCCTTTCCTTAAATGTTCTTTCTAGACTGCACACCATGATATTTTTAGTTATTTTAGTTCTATTTTTATTTTGTGTATAAATTTCACAGCAGGCACTTTCATTATAACTTGCTTCCTTTTAAAGTTCAGTACAAAAATAACCTCGTGTGTGATCCAGAAGGGAAGGATTGTGTGGGAAATAAAAAATTAAAAAAATATCCTTCGCTATCACTTTTGCCCAATGACTTTCCTGGAAATGTGCTGGGCTTGAATCTCTATTTTGCATCAAGTTTACTGAATTACACCACAGGACCTACTTTTAAATTACATTGGTCACTGAAAAGTATTTTTATCTGACTACATTTGACTTTCCTGATGTATTTCTAAGCAGTTCAGCTTCTGTGTGTTGACCTTATCAAGCTGTGCATGAAATCAAGTCTAACTTTTCTGCTCTCTTTCTCCAAACCTTAACATCTGGTCTGTCGGTCATGATTTTGTGAATTACTTCATTAAATTATCTCAGCAGTTTTTCAATGCTTCCTGAAAGGTCTTTGGAAGAAGATACAAATAATACAGCAGCTAAGCACATCTTTCGTTTGTCTTTATGCACTATTATCCAAAACTAAGTTAATCTTTTGATAAGAGCTGTACTACCCCATAGTAGTAGAACTTTGTGTCTGGGTGGACGCCCAGCACTTTTGCTGCAATAGATGTTTAGTTCAACTAAGTACTTAAACCAGTAGAGCAGTGGGAATACTGTTTTCAGTGTCAGTTATGAACACTTGAAGAGGGAGCTGTTTCTGATGTCTTAGACCCAGTTTTGAGAGGAAATATTTCATTACATAAAAACTGTATATATTAGTTAAATATTTTCAGCAGTATTTCATAATTGTGCTTAGTATTTAAACAAAATAAGTCTTTTTTTGCTTTTTCATCTATAAATTCAAAATGTATCCCATATTTAAATTTACTGTTTGCTTGGGTTTCGTTCTTACCATGTTTATATACTGAGCAAAAATGCATCTTTGCTTGTCCTCCTTGGTTCCTACTGCCTTCAGCATGGGAAGGTTTCCTTCTATGAGAAGTCAGCTCAGCAGCTGCAGCAGCAAAGTGCCCGTGCTGCTCTGTGGAGAGGAAGAAGCTGGGAACTCACTGGTCCGGCCAGCATCAGAGTGGTGTTGTCAAACCAGGAGTTGAGAGTTTCCAGCCACTAAGGAGCTGTTCTGAACTGTGGGCCATCCTACTTGTGGCATCTTAGGTAGCTGCCTGTCACTGATTTTCAGAGCAGTTTAGCGTATCTTTAATTGTTTTCTGTAGAAACAGATTATTCTCCTTCAGCAAGCACTTCCTGCTTCTTGCCCTGAATCATTCTGTGTCAAAGCAGGTTTCTTACAGCTATGTTAAATAGGTCTTTATGTCAAACTCTGTCAAAGCAAAGCCTTTAAGTCTGACTGATTGAAGATTCATAAGACTCCCATCATCCTCTCACGAATGGTGATACGAGCATGTATTGTAGTATATGGTTGCTTTAGTGAATGCTGTTTGGCTGCTTCTTTACAGGACTTTGTGTATTTCTAGAACTAGAGATCAGATGCAAAACAGAGCCTGAGAGCAAGGGAGGCTTTAGCACCTCAAGGGGGAGTCACCTTTACTGAAATTCCTTGGGCAATGATTAACTTATCTATCATTGACCTACATGTAGACCTTTGCACATTTCCAACATGAGTTGATTCTAGACTTTCAGCCATCATCTCTTTATTCTTTTACCTTATTTCATCACTGATAAAACTGATTTACCACTCATGGCCTCAACAATTAAAGCATCCAGTAATCTGCTGCTAATTTTACAGAATGGAATACCCTTTATGGCTAGTCACAGTGTTGTTTTAATGATCTTTGAAATAACACCCCTCAAACTGTTTAAATTCCATCCTTTTTCCTTTTAAACTGTCTCTGTCTTTGTGAATGTATACAACTTTTAAAGATATTTATAAAAGCAAATCCGTAGTACTCTGCTGCAACCTCCTGGATCTTGCAGTCCTTTGATGCACTGGATAGGAACTACAGCTGCAGCAGTTTTAGTTAAACACTGTGAATTCATCATCTTGAAGCACATCCTTAGCAATGGCATCTTCCCTTATAGGGGGCAAACAGAGCAGTCTGCACATATTAGAGCAGCTGCTTTACTCCGCTGATTTGGGAAGGCAAACTTTTAATTGGTAACTTCCATATACTCTTGCAAATTTGTCTTCATACCTTCAGGAGCCTATTTCTATTGTTGCTGTCATTATGAAAATGTTTTTATTACAAGGCAGAATTATGCAATGGGCAAGGGGACTTGATGTTTATAAGATAAATATCTCATGTCAGTTTT